ACAGATGCTGCCAGACCTGCTGAGCTTTTCCAGCAACTTTGTTTTTGTTCCTGATTTACAGCATCCGCAGTTCTTTTGGTTTTTATTTTCAGTGCGAGCCTGAGTTAACTACACTCCACAACACTCACCACCACTTATTAGAAACCCCATATTTATACAACTAATACACACAATTCACCCCTAATAATGTATCCATCACGTGTTTTGTTGCTCCATTACATCTCAGACATACCTTCAAACCTTACGAGATGATAACATCCTTTACATAGGTATTCTTGTGAATGCCCTGACAGGTGGAAGATGAAAAGCTTTGACAAAATGTGGCTTTTTCTCAGCAATACTCAGATTCGAAACGCGAGGAATATACACACAAGCACAAAAGTGTCAACAGCGTCTTGACATTACGACACAGTGTGGAGCTGGAGGAACACAGCAGGCCAGGCAGCATCAGAGGAGAAGGAAAGTTGACGCTTTGGGTTGGGACCCTTCTTCAGAAAATGGATTCCGACCAGAGATATCAACTTTCCTGCTCCTCTGATGCTGCCTGGCCTTCTGTGTTCCTCCAGCTCGACACTGTTGCCTCTGACTCCAGTATTGGCAGTTCTTACTATCTCTCTTGACATTACAAGTCCATTTTGGCAGGAATGCTGGTTTATTGCATCAACTCCAAACATGAAACTGTTCATTTTGAATCACTGCTAGCAGTGAAAGTGTCAAATTCATAAGTAGTCTCAGATCAGAGGTTTCACACATAACACTTTAGTCATAGCACTCACCAACTGAATGGCAATCATTAGCACTGTCTTCAGTGTGAATGTCCGGTCGCACAGATCAAAGAGATCCTCCAGACTTGGTCCCAGCAGCTCCAGCACCATGGCATTATATTTACTACATGGTCCAAAGTAATAAACTTGAGGAACTCCTTCAGCTGAAAGGAAAAAAAAGTGTTTACTAAAATCCAAAATACACTTTCCCAAATCATTGAAATAAAGTGCCATTAAGGACACATTACAGAGGCTGATCTCATGCTGCTAGCTTTGAAAATTTTGCTTCCATAGCATGTAGCAGGCACCACTGTTTTGATGTAATTTTTTAAAAACTGATCTCACTTTTACCCAACATCTTGCTTCCCCAAAAATTTGCTTGATTTCTTAAATCATTGGTTGTAATGGAGAATATACAAAACTGAATGATGCCCAATGGATATTTCACTGATTGATAAATTGATTTTCTTATAATCAATGCTATGACAAAAATAACTGTCTTAACTCTGATCTTTACAAACAAATCTGGACAGCACAAAAGTTAATATTTTCAAATAGGGTCAAAAGAGCAAAATTCAGGTTCACAGAATCATAGAATCCCTACAGCGTGGAAGCAGGCATTTGACCCATCGAGTCCACACTGACCCTCTGAAAAGCATCTCACCTAGAACCACCTCCCAATCCTATCCCTGTAACCCTGTGTTTCCCAAGCTAATCCATCTAACCTATACATCCCTGGACACTATGGGCAATTTGGCACAGAAAACTCCACACAGACGGTCAGCCGAGGATGGAATTGAACCCGGTTCCTTGGTGCTGTAAGGCAGTTGTGCTAACTACTCAGCCACCGTGCCACCCCAAAAAAATTCACGTTGACACCTTGAGTACTGATTAGATGAAGCTACATGAAATATAGTAATAACTGAGTGAATTAATGCAAAATGTGAACATACAGAATAAGAGTAAGCCACTTGTTCTTCAAGCCTGCTCCACCATTCAATAGGATCTTGGCTGATCTGATTTTAACCTCAACGCTACATTTCTGCATATCCCCAATAATCTTTCATCTCTGACGATCAAGAATCTATTTACCACTGCCTTAAAAATATTTAAAGCATCCAGTCTTGCCACCACTGACACTCTACAAGATGCACTGCAGAAAACCCTCAGACAGTACCTGCCAAACCCTCAATCACTTCCATCTAGAAGGACAAGGGCATCAGATACATGAGAACACCACCACTTGCAGGTTCCCCTCCAAGTCACTCACCATCTTTCACTGTCGCTGGGTCAAAATCCTGGAATTCCCTCCCTAATAGCATTGTGGGTCAACCTACAGCACAGAAACTGCAGTGGTTCATGAAGGCATCTCACCACCACGTTCTCAAGGCAAACTAGAGACTGGCAATAAATGCTGGCCAGCCAGTGACGCCCACATCCCAGAAATGAATAAAGAAAAAAAAACTGAAGATTTTGCATTCACTGCCTTTTGAGGAAAGGAATCCAAAAATTCACAACTCAAAAAAAATGTGGGACAGCTCAACAGCACATCATCCACATCTGCCTTCAAAGAAGTCCTAAAATGGAACCTAGAGAAGGGTTGTATTAGAGATGTTCAGATTTACATGGTCACACTTAGAAGAGGGGAACAACTATGCAAAACAGACACTGGAAATCCAAGATAGTGTAGGATAGAGTGGAAGACCAGGGTGAACATTACAACAAATCAAGGATGGGAAACCATGGTCACAGAGTGCAAAATTTGATGATTAGCATTGGGCATTGGATTTGGACAGTGGATCCAGTTTAACTATCAATGTGCACAAGCAATTTTAATATTCAACCAATTGGCTTTCCAGGATCAGTTTCGTTTCACATCTTCATTGTATGCTGATGGTTGGAGATTCAATGACACACTCACTACCAGGAAGGGGGTAGAGGCTGAAACCCTCGTGACATTTAAGTCGTAATTAAATGTGGACTTGCGATGCCAAGGCTATGGGTCAAGTGCTGGAAAATAGAATTAGAGTTAGGTGCTTGTTCTTTGACTGGCACAGCCTTTTTTTTGTGCTGTAGGCCCCTACAGCTATAATTATTGGGATTCTGTGTTTTGAATAACTTCAGGGAAAAGAATATTGCTTCCTTATGGGCTTAAAAGTTTTGACTCTTGAAGGGGTATGGTAGAAAAATAACTAGTACCCAATTCACAAGCTCATTTTTCAGGTCCAATCTAGTTAAGTCTCCTATCTTTACCAAACACCTGAAGACATAGGTTTCACAGGAGTCAATGGTCAGCTGGCTGATTCCTCTCCCCACCTCCCTTCTTGATCCAGAGGGATGGAGGGTAGTTGTAACATTCCCACTTCTGCCCACAACCAGGCTGAACAGAACAGTTCATGGACTTGTTGACTGTATGACCTATGTCTTCACCTGCTTCATTGCTACTCTCATGGATCAAGACGACTTATTTCCTCGTGGTCTATGGCCTTCAAATGGCTGAGGTAGAAGGAGGAATTGAAGAGAAGCATTTCAGGCTGTGGGGCATTAGTGCGATGAAAAAAACAGAAGGTTGCAGATGCTGGAAATCTGATACAAACACGGAATGCTGGAGATACGCAGGAGGTCGGGCAGCATCTGTAGAGAGACAAACAGTAATACCATTTCGAAACCGGTATGTCTCTTCTTCAGAAATGAAGTCAGACCTGACTCGAAGCATTAACTTTCCACAGATGCTGCCAGACCCGAGTTTCTCAGGCATTACCATCATCTCAACTTGCAAGGCCAAGAGTAGCAGTAAGCAGCTCGGATCTTTAAAGAGCTGCCTGATTGTGTGTTGGAAGCAGATTAATGGTAGTTTTCTAAAAGGATCAGGTAAGATTACAGGGGAAAGGCAAAGCACTAGCTGATGTGCTCTCGCAGAGAGTCAGCATTAGCGCAACATCCTCCTGCTGCACTGTCACCATTCCATGGTTCTAATCTCCCACCTGCCTCACTGTTCTTTTTATTATGGACTGTGATTTGACGGGGGAAAGAGGGAGAGGGCAGGAAAACTAATCTCTATTCACTCCAGAAAGTGAAACGTAATATTCCTCCATTGATCATGAATTTCAATTAACATTTGTCAGCACCACAAAAAAAACTTGCATTTATGTATTCAAAACTCCCCAAGGTGTTTCATAGTGCTGTTATTAAAAGGAAAAGAAATATTTGATCCATAATGACCATCAGGAAGGCTGGAAGCAAGCTGCGTAGTGCAGGGAGAAAGGCCTTGATTCTCCAAAGATTAGATCCATTAGGGGTGACTGGGTCTATAGTGTGTAGAAGATCTGCTTTGTCTCTGGTCCCCATTCATCCAAGCAGTTATGATGATCAGCTAATGGCTTCTTGCTTACCCAGTTCAAAACATTAACAGCATCCAAAGCAAGTGAATATTACGAGGAAATGAACAGGATAACTTCTGCTAATGGTTTAGTAACTCAAGAGCTATGCTCAGCCTTAGCAACTGGCAGTAATCCAGAGTGACAGATGTAATTATGAGCATTCCACATCTGTCACTATCTAGTGACTGGGGTCAGACGACACTAAGCGTCTAATAGACTGCTCAGTGCACTCACATTGAAAACTGAAACCTTGTAGGAATGAAAGAAGTGATTAATTTCAAGTGAAGTAGATTTTCAAATTAGCCTCTACTGAGCTGTTGAAGTGCTCACAGCCTGGTGGTAGTGCTAAATATGGTTTGACATGTCAGTCTTCATCCAGCACCCCGTACATTCAAGATGGCTGACCATAATAATCAGCTGTAATAAGAACAAAAAACCAGGGGGATAAAATCAAGTCACCTGTGGAGAGAGACTGAACTGAAGAGAAATAGAGAATTAAGAGTTTTTAAACCAGGGGAAGGGGGCAGGAAGTTCAAAGGAAAAGATCTGTGACAGGATGCAGGTCAGGGGAGATAGATGAACCACACACACACACACGTTCTCTTTGGTCTTGCAACGCTCCTAAGTTGTTGGGTAGAAGAAAATTGACTTTGATTCTGTTCTTCGTACTTTAAGGTTTGCACGACCCTTGCACTATAAAGTTTCCTATTGCATTCATCCTAGTTGAGCAGTGATGGACAATTAGCTGTCATGAGATAATGTTCCTGCAGCTGCTTTATGCTATTCCTTCAACAATATGAATAATATCTGATCTCAGCTGGTCTGCAGCTTTGTATAACCATACTATTTCTGTTCAGATCCCTTCCCTAAATGTGACAATGGTCTTGCTCAGTAGCACTTATTGTAAAAAGCACAATAAGACTGCTCCTTATTTACATCTTGATAGCCCTGTAGGGATATATGTGGTGTGAACTCCTTTGATGGAGTCAGGAATTGAGTCTTCAGCTGCTTGCCCATAAGCAATTCCAATAGTGCTCAACTACATTGGCATGTGGTGGACCTGTAATTTAGCAGTGCTGCCCTGCATTTGTCAACAGCGACTTAATTCTCGATCCCGCATTCAGCTTCCCCGTTTGATCGCAGGATGTCAGTAAACACGTGACATGTTCAAATTCAGAACTGACGGCAAAGTTGACTGAAACACTTATTAGCACACACTGTCCCGTCATCGAAACATGAGGATACCATGCACTGATCTCCTACCTACTAACCTCATCCCGCCCTCTTGACCTGTCCGTCCTCCCTGCACTGACCTATCTCCTCCCTACCTACACTCACCTTTACTGGCTCCATCCCCGCCTCTTTGACTGGTCTGTCTCCTCTCCACCTATCTTCTCCTCTATCCATCTTCTATCCGCCTCCCCCTCTCTCCCTATTTATTTCAGAACCTCCTTCCCCTCCCCCATTTCTGGAGGAGGGTCTAGGCCCGAAACGTCAGCCTTCCACCTCCTCTGATGCTGCTTGGCCTGCTGTGTTCACCCAGCTCTACACCTTGTTATCTCTACCATGCATTGTAAATAGCTCATGCAAGTCTTGTGATCACCTTACTCAAGGTTTACACAAGTGTTCCTTGGCAACCTCCCGAGGACATTTTCCTGAAGTGAAACTGGAACGACTAGTCATTCGTTCATCACTGGTATGTCACCCACAATAACAAAATACAGTCAGTGCTCAAAATGGTTTTATAGTTAGTCCTTTAGGTTTTTGTTCTGATAAACCCTTAA